ATCTGTTAAAAAAAAAAAAACTTTGCCACTGTTTGAGTGTTGTACGGAGAGACCGTGTGTGTGTGTGTGTGTGTGTGTGTGTGTGAGAGACACTCGCACTCTCTCTTTCCTTATGTATGTATGTGCACACATCCTCGTACCTCACCGCTCCAAACCATAGCTCCAAACTTAATCCGGCAAAGGTGAACATTCCTGCATCATAACTTGGACTGAAAGATGAATGTGTAGAAAGCGAGCATGTCTCCAAAAACCTTGTTGAGCTGCAGGTATATGCATGCATTTTTTATTAAATTTTTTACAGAAATTGTTTTGATTATATTTTTGATTATTGAGCTGCAGGTTTAGGCTCACTTAAGTGACTGCGGTTTTTTCATTTATAGGGATTTTTTTTTTTTTACAGAAAATAATTTATGTTCTGATTATTGTTGAGCTGCAGGTTTAGGCGCACTTAAGTGACTGCATTTAATTATTTATTCTAATTATTTAGCCTGACATGTTTACTGTTCCAAAATGTTCTATATGTTTCTTAAAAATAAAATGTGTTCAGTGTTTTTTTTTTACCCAGACATTTAAAAATAACATATTTTAGAGCTGTAATCACAACACCGTGAAACCGTGATATTTTTTATCTAAGGTTATCATACCGTCAGAATCTCATACCGGCCCATGCCTACTCCAAGGGCATGCGGTGACTGATTTTCTTATTTCCTTGAGTGCCTTCGCAACACAACACTGAATGGTACAGCGGCTCGTCCTTAAGAAGAAACACTCAAATATATTCACATCCAAACCTTTAGCTGTCCAGAGATGAAATGTTTTGAAACCGACAGATTCTAAAGACTTGAGATGCACCGCACACACAGGCTCCTTGATGAGGAAGTTTCTGCGGTGACACACAGCGGCCCTTCTCTCGGCGCATGACTGTGTGCGTGTGACACAAATTAGGGGCTGCGGGTGTGCAGGGCACCTCTATCCCGCCTGCCTGTCTCCATCGGCGGCCTCGGCAAAGGTGTAATACATCAAGAAAAGACATCAAACACTGCTTCTCTCCAATCTGGCTCGGAATAGAAATTTCTTTTCGAAGGCAATCTGCTCAGGATTTTTAGGGGTGGGAGGGTTGTGTGTACATTCTCTCGAGTGTTTGTGCCATTCTATAGATCTGCTGTCTCGGAAAGCGGATTGGAAGCAGTGTGTTCTAAACAAAATTAAGGAGCGAGATGTATGCACTTGCACCTTCTAGCTCTTTCTCAACATTGTTTGTGTGTAAACAGGTCAACAGGAGCCCCGGGTGAGTGCTCAGGCACTGGAAGTGGTCACAGTAGACTGATGAGTGCTCTTGGTGAGGTCTCATTGCCTCTTCTTACAAAAACTTTCCCCACCCCTTCTCACCTCCATTGGCCTTGGCTTTACAATACCCACAGCTGAGGAAATATGGTGGGAATGCAGTTGGAAAAGAACTGAGACCGATTAAAAAAGGAATAGAATGCGATGTAGGAATGTTCATTCACATACATTGGCATGAATAACACTTGCTTGAAGTAATTTTGCTGGCTTTGCATTGATCTTTATACTCATTATGAAACATTTCTGTAGCTACAGTGTCTGAAAGCAGTGGGGCGAAACTGACTGCCAGGAACTTACGTCAAATATTTTTTCAGTGTACATCTCGTCGTTCACACGGTCTTGCAGAATATCCTGATTCTGTCGTACAAAGGTGATGTAGGTATCTGCTAGATCCATACCGGGTTTCTGTTGAGAGTGATGGATTCAAAGTTAGCATGGATTTATTCATCCTGAGTCTTCATTCGTTT